ACCGACCGAGGGCCGGGGGATTTTCGGACCGACGAGGGCCGGGGGCTGCGGGGCGACCCCAGCGTCTCCCCGGGCAGCGCCCGGCGCTTGCGGCCGGCGCTGGTCCCGTGCGGCAGCCGCGCCGCCATTGGCGGCCGGGCCCGGGGCCGTTCTATGCCGCCCTTCGCCATTGGCTGCCGGGCCGGGGCCGTTCTGTGCCGCCCTTCGCCATTGGCTGCCGGGCCGGGGCCGTTCTGTGCCGCTCCTCGCCATTGGCTGCCGGGCCGGGGCCGTTCTGTGCCACTCCTCGCTATTGGCCGCGGCTGCGGGTGCCGCCGTAAGCGCGTTGGCCATTGGCGGCGGCGGGAGCATGGCGGGCACGGGCGGCTCCTGGAGGGTGAGCGGGAGCGGGGCCGGGGGGCGCTGGGGCTGGGATTGGGATCGGGTGGGCGGCGGGACTCGGTTCAGCCCGGCCATGTCCGTCCGCAGCCGCCGCGCTCGTGCGAGGATTACTGGGGGGAGTGGAAGCATTGCCGCGGGCTGCGCCACGCCTTCCACCACTACTACGCGCACGGGGAGCTGCCGGAGTGCGGCCGCTGGCGGGAGGACTACGAGGCCTGCCGAGCCTGGGAGAGGGACCGCGCCCCCGCCGCGCAGGTACCGGCCCCGCTCCTGGTACCGGCCCCGCTCCCCGTCCTCGTCCCGGCCTCCCGGGGCTCTCTAGGGCGGGGCTGCTGGCACTGAAGCCCCGCAGCCGCGGCGGCTGGGGAGGGTTTGGAAATGCCGGAGGTGGGTCGGCTTGTCTTAAAATCCGGTGAAGGACCCGGGGAGAATTTTCAGTTTTCAGCTGTAAAAGCTCTGGGTTTTTGTTACTCTGACATTTCCTTTCTAAAAGAGAAATCCGCCACGTTAAAGGGAGAAGGCATTGCTGGGGTGTCTGGAAATGCCCCTGGCTCCAGCCCCCGGACACGGGACACCACCAGCCCTGCAGGGCAGGCTCCAGCCGAGCTCCTCCCTGTCGCCAGCCAGGACAGCTTCTGGCGAGAGTTTCCTTTGTAACTTAGGAGCCAGAGGCAAAATATAAATATTATTTAGTTAAAAACTTGTATTCTGGCTTACTTAGAAAACATTTAGCACTTCTGCTTAAGCATGATAATTTTATCTCAGATGTTCACAGCAGGAAATCAGCTCTGTATGACTGGAACATCCAACACTATTATTGAAATATTTTTTTTCCTGTATTTCAGGAAGCTTTGTGCAAGAGTGAAAGAGCTCGAGTTATGGAAAAACAGAAATATGCTCCAGTGTGGAAGCTCAGGAAGAGCCCACCATCTGACTGGTATCTACCACTTGACCACGACAAATCAAATTAATAAGACTGTTTTCTGTGTTTGGTCAGTAACATAATACACAATTCAGAATTATGCTTTTTTTTTCCTTCTGCATCATCTTGAAGTTATTCAACTGTACCTCTGCCCTACAATACGTTAGCACTCACTCAAAAATTCTGAAATTTTATTTAAACACTGAATATTTTTAAAAGGAGATTTAAAGTGCTTAATTTGGTTGTGGTCTTTTACTGTTGATTTACATTGCAGGATTTCATTTCAGCAGGCACCTTTCAATTAATGCATACATGCTCTAGCTCTGAGGGCCTCTTGCCCTACCAGCTGGCATTGAGCACTTCTGGAACAAGGTACCCACCCCAGGCCTGCCAAATGGGGAAAAAAAACAAGCTGGGACTCTTCCTTGCTGGCTCAGGACAATCCCAAACACTAGCATTTAAAGACATTTCCCAGAATCAGGATTGTGGTGGTTGAAGAGTTTCTTACCTGTGGGCTGCACACCCTGAAAGTGCCCCTGTGTGGAAGTGCTCTCCAGTGGTGGTGTGTGTTGTGGCAGTATAAAAGCTATAAAAAATAAAGGTTTAAACGAATGTAGAGAGAGATCTGGTTTGTATTAGGGCAAACCCACAGAAACGTAGTTACAACAGTTACATGACAATATAAAAATAAAGAAAATTGGCTTTGCCACTGTGTAAGGTTGTGTAGCTTTGCTAGGTGAATAGTCATTAAAACACAGAGATACTTCATTTATTATTTTACAGTCACATCCTGCAGTGTTGTAACCTGCAGGAAAAATTGTTTATTACTCCATTCTTTCTTCCTTCAGTCACTGAGCACCTCCTGGCAGCCGAAGCAGGAGCGCCCCTGTCACTGTGTGTACACCTTGGTGATGTCGATGCACTTCCCCTCGGGCGGATCGTAGCCAGGAAGGGGAGGGGTGTAACTGGGTCCCTCCCTCTCGAAGGGGAAGAGCCCCTCGTCCCTCAGGATTGCTGCCTGGTACAGCTCCTCGGATTCCAGCTGCAGCTCCCTCAGTGCCTCCTGCTGAGATTCTACAAGGGCTTTAATTGCTTTCTTTTCTGCCTCATCTTGTTTCTGCTTAAACAAACACCACTTCTTCAAAAGTAAAACTCTTCTTTCAGACTCTTCAGGAGAAAGAGCAGGAAGACTTCGCACCCTGATGAAAAGAAGGGTAACACTGTAACAGAGAAACAGCCTGACTCCAAAGACCAGACTAAGAAAAACAAAATGCCAAAACCAAAAATCTCACTGCCAGGCAAAAACCCCCCACCAAACCCAGAGAATACATTGGATTCACTAGTAATTTAGTCAGTCTGTGAGGTCTTCCAGTCACTCTAACAGGAAATGCACTGTTTTTCATTATTTTTAGCAAGAACAAATAATATTTCATTTGCACATTTTTGTCCTGATAGAGGTGAGCAAGGTTTTGTACCAAGGCTAGCACTATGTTGCAGTTGTGCAGAAGGAGAAATTCACTGTAGGTGCAGGTGAAAGGCAGACCTACTGACCTATTGCTCTCTGTGTACTTGAGTGGGGTTATAAAATCCTCAATTGGAATCAGTTCTGGGGCAGCTTTTTCCAACTTTTTAAGCTTTTTCTTCATACGCTCCTTCTGTGCTTGCTCTTTCTTCACATCCACTTTCTTTTTCTTCTTTGGTTGTGCTCTACAAGGGAAATAGTTAATGAAAAGATATTTTGTCCTTTCATTCAACACCAGCAACGTTGACTTTCTTTACCATTGTTTAATTTGTCCCTGACACAAGTTCCAGCTTTCAGCTTTATTCAAGTAATGTAATTTCCAGTGACATTTCTGCTGAGATTTTCTGCAGAGAGAACTGTAACTGCCTGGGAAAAGCAATTTTGTGCTGAACATGAGAATGACCTGAGGAAGTTCCACAAAAAATTGAATTGTTTTAAGAATTGTTTTAACTGGCTCTGAGTGCACCATAGCAGGTTTATCATACAAGTGACTTGTGCTGGAAAGGACCTTAAATCTCATGTGATTCTAACCCCCTACCATGGGCAGGGAAACCTTTCACTAGACCAGGTTTCTCCAAGCCCCATCCAACCTGGCCTTGAACAAATATTCCTCTTATTTCACATTAAAGAAGACTTCAAGTGGTTTTATACATGCTTCTGAAATTTCTGCATCTGGAGCCAAGTTCAGGCTGTAGATGTTACTTCTCCATGCAGATCTGAGATATCATTGCACACTCCACAAACACAAATTGACCCTGATTCCTGCCTGGTAGATTGAACAAACAACATATATGGTGTGAAACAGTCCCTCTCCTAAGAGCGACCTGGGTATTTTAAATCAAGCTGCATCAAAACAAAACACAGACACTGAAATGTGGCACAGAAATACACATGGGCTGCCTCTGCCTTCACAGCCAAGCATTTCTGGTTCAGCCAGGCTTTCACTGGTGTTGCCCAGCAGGGAATTCTGGAGCACAGCATAAATCCCAACATTTCCAGCTGTGATTGTGCTACCCACAAGCACAAAGTGGTAACTGTATCACCTCTGAACTCTCCACAAGAGGCCAACAGTTCCCAGCTGCTCTGGCATATAGAGACTTAAACATGTACAGTTAAAGGTTAAATGTAGACTTGGGAAAATTTGTGTTCCCCCAGTGGATGAGAACACTTCTGTGTGACTCCAAGAAAGCTGCACTCACCTCACAGGGAGGGATGTCCTGAAGCCCAGCAATGAGCTCTGCCAGTGACTCCCTCGGAGCAGGACCCTCTGGGGCAGCCAGGAGCTGCAGGAGGAAAAGCAACATAACGAATGAGGAGGAACTGACTCTGGTGTCATTGATTCTGCACAAGAACTGTTTGTTATTCACATTTTACAGTGATGAGATTTGAACCATCTCTGGCCACTTCATTCATGGCAGGACACAACGTTTGCCTAGAGATAATCTCAAACTCTTGAGCTGGCAACTGATCCCAAATACGGACAGGTCGGTGTGAGCCCGCCAGGGTACCGAAGGGTGACAGAGGTACAGTTTTTGGATAGGTTAGAGCAGTTTTAGTTTTAAGCTCTGACAATGACCCCTCTGAGGAGCTGGTATGGGAGAGGTCAGACCACCACCGCTCAGACTAGGAGGGGGATGCCGACTGTCGTATCTCGGCGGTTGTCACGGGAGGACGAACCGGCCCAGGTGCCAAGGCACCGACTTCTCCAAGTGCGGGGGCCCAGCGCGGGCCCAGCCCCAGGAATGGGCGGGAGCGGGCTGGGCAGGGACTGCGGCTAAGGGCCGCTTCCCGGGCTCCCTTCCCGCGGTCCTGGGGCAGGGCGGCCGCAGGCCCGGTCCCGGAGCGCGGTCCCAGCCCTACCTGAGCTGGGCCCCGCGGAGCCCCCGCGCCGCCGCCACCGCCGCCGCCCACATGGCTCCGCGTGCGCCGCGCCCCCGCCGGCCGCGCTCCGACCCCGCGTTCCCCGTTCCGGAGCACAAACGTTCCGGGGGGCGCCCTACGCGGAGCTCCCACCCCGCCCGCACTGTCTCGCTCCGCCCGGCAGGGGGCGCCCGTGCGCGCTGCAGGGCGGGCGGCGCCTGGCGGGGGAACGGCGGGGTCGGGGGCGCTGTTTCCCGCCGGGCCGGTTAGGCCGTTGCCAGGCGCCGAGTTCCGGCGGTGCCGGATCGCCGGCGGCGCCGGGCGGGGGATGCGGCGGGGCGGCGGCGGCACCGGGACATGGAGCGGCGCTGAGGCGGCTCGGGCCGGCCGGGGGCGCGGGCACTGCGGCGCCGGGCGCGGGCCCATGGTGGCCGGCCGCCGCTGAGCGCCGCGGCCGCGGAGGCAGCCCGGGCGGAGCCGCCCTGGGGTCCCGAGGGCGGAGGCCGGCGGGGGCCCCGGGCGGGGAACAATGAAGCTGCTGAAGCCGACCTGGGTCAACCACAATGGTGAGGGCCGGCCGGGCAGCAGGTGCCGCGGGCCGGCCGGGCAGCAGGTGCCGCGGGCCGGCCGGGCAGGTGCGGCGGGGGAACGGGCGGGCGGCACACGCGGGGGGCGCGGGGCGGGCGGAGCCTCGGGCCGCTGCCGGGCGCTCCCCGGGCGGCCGCGGGTGCCGGAGCTCCGCCGGCCCGGGAGCGGCCGCTGCGGGCGGGGGCAGCGGCAGCAACAAGTCCGTGCCGGCGGACGGGAGCGGGAGCGGAGCCCGGGCTCTGCAGCCGGGCCGGTTCCCGAGGGCGGCATGGGGACAGCTCGTCCCCGGGAGGGGGCTGGAGGGGACCCGGCCCGCCCGGCACGGCGAGTGCGCTGGGGACAGGCGGGCACCGCCGCGCCCGGGCTCAGCGGGGACGGCTGCAGGTTCTGAGGGAACGCTGAGCTGATTCCGCCGGCCGGGCACGGCCCGGGGCCGCGCCGTGCTGGTGGAAGTGCGGGGAGAGTTTGAATGGAGTTCAGCCCGTGCAGGGGTCGAGGGCCCCTCGGGATGAGTGTTCAGGTAGGATGAGTCGGTATCCAGTGCACTGCACTGACCACCCGGCTCTCACATTGCTGACACAAGTACAGGATTAAAAATCCTCCAATGCACTGAGCTGTGCTATCGTTCTCCACGGAGGGAAAAGTTTCTTCCAGCAGTTCTTTCAAAACAACTCCCTGAATTTATGTAATGTCCTGTCTGCCAGTCCTCTGGTGATGTTGAAGTGAAGTGTGAGCTAAAACAGCTCAGAGTGAGGTGTCGATATTGACAGAAGGCTTTGTACTTTCCTTGTGTGGCAAATGCAGGACAGCACCAGAGTTTATGTCATATTTACACGGCTTAGGATGAATTTCCAGTGACAAGAAACCTAACACAAAGAGCTCACTTCTGTTTATGCAAGTTTTGCCCTCAGATTCATGGGTACAGCTTCATTTCAACTGCAGATTTTATACTCTGTCATTGTATACATGTCATTGGCTGGGCTCATGTAGCTGATTGGTATCTAGAGTAAAACTAAGACCAGGTTATTCAAGCTGGAAAAGTGTGCTTTGAGTTAAACCCCCAGGTAGAACTTTACAGTTGCCTTTCTGCATGGGTTGTGTTCTTTGTGTTCATGCTGCAATTGTTGATAACAATTTAAGCCTCGAGTTGCCATTCGTGTGCATCTTTACTTGGCCCTCTCTAGGGACTCTCTAGGCAGCAGATGGACTCAACCTTGTAACCAAAGGTTATACAGAACTGAAAAAAATGTGGAAGTTCCTTATTTGAGATGTTTTTTACATTTCTCCTTGATTACTCTAAACAAATATACCATTTACATCTTAATCTCTGTAACTTCTTTCCTTAGTTTTGTACCTTTTGCTATGGGTATGTATTTGAAATCTGTAGCAATTTAGAAAACATCCAACCATTGCAGAGCACAGGCTTCAGCCAAGCAGGGCTTCATTTACAGAGCCCTGTGATGATGGATAATGCACTACACAGGGCCTTGATGGTCCTGAATTTTACTCCCATTTCTGCCACTGACCTTTTGGGATGAGTTTCATCATCATTCACCACCTGCAAAACAGACATTTGCCAGCAGTTCCATTTGTGAGGTGCTCTGAGGGCTGCAGAGGTGTGCAGGGCTGTGTGACAGTCACACATTGCTGTCCTTGGGGCAGGGAGGGCAGGATGAAAACCGGTGAGTTTAGTCAGCCTCTTGTAACGAGCCTGGGTTCCGGATCCTCCAGGCATTGCTGCCTGCCAGGAGTCTCCATCACTCCTCATGGGCCTTCCTCTGGGCTCTGAAACCTCTCCAGAATTCACACTCTGTGCTGGAGACTCTGTGCTAATTCCTATTCCTTTGATTTCTGCACAGGCACATGGGGCTGTGCCTCACTGTTCTCGTTTGTGACTCCTGACAGCAGGGCTGCCTCTTCCACACTCCAGATCCAGCTGCTGTAGTTCAGCCTCTTCCCACTCAGTTTTGGGAGTTTTGTTTTACTGAATGGACTAGAATGATGCTTCCAGGCATACATTCTCCAGGAGATAATAGGCACTAGAAGTGAGTGTTGTAGCCAGGAAATCCAGCACACCTGGGAATTATGTGCTGCACAGGCCAGATGCTGCATGCTTACAGTAAAAGCACTTCAGCACATTTTGGCTCTACAGGTTTTTGCCTTGGAGTTCTTCATGTCACTTTTTCTGAGTGCTTATTGGAATTATTGCTTGCTCAGATGCATTTTCCATGAGCTTTTCACACACTTAATGTGGATTTGTTAGATTTTGCATGAAATTCTCATTATTGTTGTGCTCTTCTCTTCCACGTGTCTTTGACTTAGAGCAAGGAAGAATATTCAGAAGTGCAGTCTAATTTTGGGGGTGAGAGCAGATGAATGTAGGATACAAGTGCTGGGATTGGCTTCTCTTTCCCGGTATTGCATTCAGTACCTCTGTACAGATGCATCTTGCATCCAGCAGCTGCCTGTACATACTCAGCACTCAGGGTTTGAGAGCTCAGGTGCTTAAAGACAACTCAGGCAGTCAAACACTGATCCCTGTGGGAAAGGAAGTCCCTTGCTGTTCCAAGAAACCCTTGCAAGCCCCAAGGTGCTGCTCATGTATAACAGCTTGTGGAAACTGGAGCCTGCTGTTGTTTAAATATAGGCATGGAGTTTATCTCTCCAAGCTGTAATGGTGGAATGTAAATATTTGAATTGATTTGTGAGTCACATTGAATTTTATGTATTAGATAGGCTAGAAGCAAATTGAATAGAAATTAATTCATTTTGAGGTAGAAATTCACTTAGGACTCTTCTTATATTTAATTGATTATTGTATAAAGTTAAGGAACAAACAAAAATGATGCAATGTTTAAAATTGCTTTTTTTCTTCGCTGGTGTATTTTTTTTTAAGATGGAACCTTCTCCTTGGGTTTCAATTATCTTACTTAGATCTTTTTGTTCCAAGCTTGTTTCATTATCAGTATTTCTTTAACTGCAAAATGCATATTTGGGTTCTTTAAACAAATAAGCCCACAGGACATCTGGTATATCATAAGGTGCTCTGTTTTTAATGAACCTGATTTGCCTCCTCCTGCAAATGTGATTCTGGGAGCTTCAATAATTTAAGCTTATCTTTTTTTAGAAATTATTGCAAGAGGTCAGAATGTCTTAAAACACACTGTGTTAGATTTTAGTGTTGCTGCTTAAATATCACATTTTGTTTTGGTGCATCATTACTGTTGTGAAACTCAGCACGTCTCCAATTAGGAGCATGGGAAAGCTTCAGGCACTTTGAAGCAGGGCCCTTGTGCCTTTTGGCTTGTTTCAGCAGGAACTAACAACATAATCTGATAAAGACATGGACCCAGGGAAGAAGGTGATTGCTATCAAATAATGACTTCTTCTTCATTATTTTGAGAAATTGAAGGAAGTGAGGAAAAACCCAGTATCTGTGCTCAATTTGTAAACCACAAGTAGCATGGAACAATTCTTACAGCTTTAACCTGTTAGAGTTATCCAGCACTGTAGATGGCATTCTCTTGATAGTGGTACCCTGGAGGAAAGAGCACCCTGGCAATGCTCTCTGTACTGTGACCACTTCATCTGTTCTTTGCTTTTTTTTTTTTTTTTTTTTAAATTAGTAATTGGACTTTGGGCACTGAGCAGATCACTGTGTATCATTAGTTATCTGTGGAATAAGATCCCTTCCTGGATCACAGTTGAGCTGTGTAGGAAACTTTGTTGTCCAGGGCTTCATTTATTACTGCTGCCTTTCCTGGGTGCAAAGTCCATACCCTCTTTAAACTTCATGTATAAAATAATGCCCTGTGGTCTGGCAGCTTTCACTGAGTTCTGTATTTTTAGGATTATAACAATTTATGAAAAGCTACTCAGTGCTTATTTGATTGAACCCCAAATTTATGCTAGGAAAAACCTAAAAATAAAATGTTATCCTGCTATGTAAATATATGGATGGTTTGTGTTTGAACACGTGGTCATCAATGCGAGTTTCCATTCATGTAATAAAATAGAGGAGAACTGAAAGTGGCTTGGAGTGACCAGAATGATCAGAGCTCTTTGTACAAGGAGCAGAGGAGTAGAGCAGGACTCTTTGGGCAAGCAGTGGGGTCATTGGGCTGGGGACATGATGGACACAGTTGTGAATGGCAGAAAAGGGATCAGTGTTGAGTGATTTTCATTCACTGCCCTTCTGTACAAGAATTAATTGTGTTAAAGTGACAAATAGCTGGTACAGATCCATGGAGTAGGAGGTTCCTCACAGAGTCCATGGCTGAGCAATGGATCTCTGTGTAGGGGTTGTTGGGTTATGGATCTGAGAAATGGCTCATTGGATTTATAGAAGAAAGTCCATTGAGGGCCCCTGATTCAAGAAGGCAGATCTGTAATTTCTTTGCATTTGGAAGATTATCTTAGGAAGAAGCATTGTGTGCTCACCATTGCACAGATCCTTAGGGACTTCTCTCGTGCTGGCTTCTGAACACAGAGTGCTGGGCTTGGTGGACATTTTCCCTGGTGGGGCTAATTTAAAGCATTTATGGAGAATTTGTAGCTAAGTTACCTCTGGCTCTCTAAGCAAAGTAATTTGCTGGGTTTCTTCAACCCCATTTGTGGATCTGTGAAAAATCTTTGCCCAGGAGAAGGGAGAGAGCTGATGTTACTGCTCCTGTAGAGTTGTGCTCTTAAGGCAGGAATTGGAGAGGCTGTGGTAGTTTTAGACATATAGTAAAGGAAAGGAAAATTATATCATGTCAGTAATTTTTGCAAAGCAATGAGTGCAATGACAATTTTTTGGAATGTGTAGCATATCTGAATATGCCTGAATAGTAGTGGTGGTGGCTAGGTTGCTGTTCTTTCTGATTTGCTGGGAAAGTTTCCTTTTGGTGCAAATGATACAGAGGCAGAATAAGCCAGGTTATTAAAATTCAAAGGTCTTTGATGGCTGGCTTCCTACTCTCCCCTACACATCTAATGGCAAATACCAGAGTAGATGAGCTCTTCTTGCCCAAGATTTGATGCAAATTGAAAATGTCACCTCTTCCTCCTCTAAGGTCTCCAGAGTGGCCTTTTCAGTAAGTTTCACTGGGCTCAACTATTTCAAATGATGCACTGGTTTAATATAAGGGAAATCCCACATTTTGGAAAGGGTAAAATAATATTTGTTTCTTGTTTGTGCTTCTCTAAATATTCAGCTTAGTCCTGAATGTTGCATTTGAGTTAATAGACTAAAAGCAAGAATCAGGCATAACAAGCTGAAGAAAAACCACAGCTCATGTGTGTCTCAGCTCATGTGTGCTATGTGGTCTGAAGGACTTGGAAGGAATGTAAGTTGAGTGCCATCTTTCTGTGCTTAAGGTTTTTGCTTGGCTGCCTGTGAAAATTTTAAGGGAAGTCACATGTCAGAGCTGCAATATATCCAAATAATAAATCCAAATAAAACAAACCTTAAAACAAGTCAACATAAAGGATACAAAAGTAAAAATGAAGCCAAATGTGTATCCCTCATAAAGTAAGAAAAAGTGGGTATTTGGATTTTATTAGGAGTTTAGTGTCAAGGTTTCAGTTCCTACAGTTGCACATAAAAGTTGCTGTACAATAAGATCTCCAGGTTTTATCATTTATGTCTTAACATCTCATGAAGATACAGCACAAGATTGACCCTCATGGGAAATTTATCAATTAATCTTGGTGTGTGGGTACTGATACTTTTGCCTGTTTGGTAGATTGCCTTATTTTCCAGTGGCATATATGTGATCTTGCTTGCAGAGGCTTTCCAGTTTGAACGGGTTGGAAGTGCTGCCAGAAATTCTTTGGATGTAGAAATCACATGTGTGTTCTTTCACATAATCCTTAGTGGCAGCTCTTTGAGCATCACTGGAAGACAGGAAGCTGCTGCTCCCCTCTTCCTTTTCCTCAGCAAAGGTTAAAACAACTGTGAACATACAGAGAGTGAATATGAGCCAGTGGTTGGAGCAGAACAGGTTGGAAGCGAGGCCTCTCTGGTTTCCAAAGCTGTTCCCCAGCTATGTTTTTACAGAGTTTACATTCTAGTAAAATTATTAGCTTTCTTCTAATGAAGCATGTGGAGAATTGAAGGATTTAAGAGTAATACTATTGTTGCTTAGTCCTCCTCTTTCTATATGGAAGCCATAAAATCAAAACTGGTCTTTGGGTAGAAGAGTTTCATTAGGCGAATTGAAATTTGAGACAGGTAATGGTGTGACCAACAGATGCAGCCTGAGATTGGGAAGGATTTTAAAAAAACAAAAACAGAAACCAAAAGAAGACTTGCTTCAGGTCATCAGCTAATGAACTGTAGAAACCTGGAAGAAATTCCATTCTCAAGTATAGTTTTGCTTTGTTGGCACTTGCTTTGTGGTATTACTTTGCTTTGAGGTATTTGGCATATCCTGCTGGATTAAGTGTCCCTGGTTATCTCTGGTTTTTGTGGCATGATAACTTCCAAATAGGCTTTTAATAGGCTGCCATTTCTGTCAGCAAGCTTCTCTCAGCTCTTGTAGTCAGCTGGAATTCCTACAACTCGAGTCTTTAGAAGAAGAAAGTTACTTGCCAACCAGAAGAGTTATGGTGGTTCTGGTGTTACTGCATTCCCTTGAATGTAAAACAATTCAGGATTTGCTGTTTGTTCTCTAATTCCAGGAAAGCCAATATTTTCAGTGGACATTCACCCAGATGGGACCAAGTTTGCAACAGGAGGACAAGGTAAGTCTGTGTACTGGTAGAAGGCAGAATTTTGGGTAATAATAATAATAAATAATTATAATAATCTTGTGCCTTCACAGCACTTGAATTGGTTTGACCCTTTTAAAAAGACATCACTTTTATCTCTGAGAACAGATAATTATGTAAGCTATGAAAATGTATTGGGAAGTGCTGCTGCTCCTGCAGAAGGGAGGGTTACATGTTCTGATGTCCTCATCCCGTTGGATGTCATTGAGATAGTAGCTGCTATCAGTGATTGAGCCGTGGCCATATGGGCCAAATTTCTTTTTAATTTGAAGAGGAACTGGATGTGCAGTTGAGCTTTTTCAGTGGCTAAATAGTAGAGCTATTGAAACAGAAAAATCCAATTATATAAATAGAATAGCTTAAGAAATATATGCAAAAATATTATTTGTTTCACAATAGTGAGTAATTTTATATTGGCTACAATAATTGCAATTTAGTATTTGAATATGTATCTTTTCTCTTTTAGAATACAATTTTATTACAAGTAGTTGTCCTTACAGTTGGTATCAGTTATGTACAGTATGATTTTTGTACGAGGCAGTATAAATTTATTTTTAATAGCTCCAGGAAAAATAAAGCACTTCTGATTTGGTCTAATTATATCAAAGTGACATCTGTATTCAGATGTTTCCAAAGTCCCCACTGCAGCAATGCCTACATTTTCACATCTGTTCTGGAACTGAGATTGATTTGAAAAACTTTTTTGGATGTATTTAGAAGGGGGAGCTTTTTGGTCTCTTACAGGTCAGGATTCTGGCAAAGTTGTGATCTGGAATATGGCTCCTGTCCTGAAAGAGGAAGATGAAAAGAATGAAAATATCCCCAAGATGCTTTGTCAGATGGACAATCACTTAGGTAACAAAATTGCTTGGGTTTTTTCATTGCTGACTATTGGTAATTTGCCAAAGCCTATGACTTACATGTCTGTAATTGCAAAAATAATGCCTGTCCAGTGGTGAAGAATCAATAAAACAGAAGCAGAGTGGTCTTATACTTTGGCTGTATACTTTTCAAGATATTCAGCAGAAAATGCTGTTAAAATGTGAGGGAATGTGCAGAAGCCTATAGATACCTTTGGAAATCTCCCTATAAGCTTTTTTCAGCTGTGGCCACAAAGTATTTCATAATGCACATTCTGAGAAACTGTAGAGCTCTGAAGGAAAGTATAGGAGAAGAAGTAAATGTAAAAGATACATCATAGGAAGTATTTTGGTTATAGTTATAAATTATTACACTTATTACATTATAAATTATTGCATTTGGAATTAGTAAGGTCACCTGACAAGTTGTCCCTTCTTTTCTTCAAAATATACCTCTCCTTCTTTGCCCTCTTAATCCCACTTTATTTACTAGAATAAGTTTCCTTCATTAGAGGAATATTAATCTTTCTTCCTTCAAGCCTCTTTTGGTGAAGTTTCTTTAGATAAGGAATAGAGTTTTTAAAGTAAGAAATTCCTCAACTGCTACTGAAAGATAAGTACCAATTCATTTATCTAAAGCAGACAGAGCAACTGCTTTGAGTGGGAAAAGCCCACTTAAATCCTAAATGTCTCCTGACAACTTTTGCTTATTTGTAATATAAATCCTGTCTGCAGTCCAGAACCACTTACTCACATATTTCATCTTGCAAACTTTCTTTTCTCCCTTTCAGCTTGTGTGAACTGTGTGCGATGGTCGAACAATGGCGTTTACTTGGCCTCGGGGGGAGATGACAAGCTGATTATGGTGTGGAAACGAGCTGCGTAAGCATCCTTCTTCCTTCAGCTCTGAATTTCATTTCCAGGAGGTTTCTCTGTGACATCTCGGTGCTCCCTCCCTGTGCTGCCCTTTGCTCAGCTCAGTGCTCCACCTGCTGTGGATGGAGCTGAAAGCTGGGGCACCACAGTGGTGCTGGGGATGTGACTGCTGTCCTTAGGGCTGGAGGGTGTCTGCCTGGGCAGTCTCTCTCCTCTGGAGGAGCTGAGACATTTTCTTCTCTCCTTGAAGAAAACTTCCTGGTGAGATTTGAAGAGTCACCTTAAATGTTACCATTTTATGCTATCTATAGAAATTCTACATTTTATGGAAGCTAATTTTTTAATAATATTTACTCTCTCTATAATAATTACTCTCTCTAAAAAAATGCGCTTTTCCCCCTTCTGTATTGTAGGAATAACTAAATACAAGTGTATACTAAATTATAGGAATAACTAAATACAAATGTACTGTGCAGCTGATTTTCTTTTAAAAAAGTGAAGAGCTTGTGGTGGTTCTTCTTATAATTGTTTCTATTTTAAATAGGTACATTGGACCTAGCACTGTGTTTGGTTCTAGTAGCAAACTTACTAATGTTGAGCAATGGAGGTGTGTGTCGATTCTCAGAAGCCATTCAGGGGGTAGGTTTCAAGGTGTTGAATGAACATAATTTGCATGTATTTGGAAAAAATTTGCTTTTTAGCATCACATTTTCTTGTTTGAAATATGTATTTGGTGGCAAGTCAGTAATTAATTTTAAGAGCAACAATGAAAACTTAAAATATAACTTTTTTATGAAATGCAATTTTCATACAAGTAACTTCTGGCAAGTATGGTATGTAGGAGAAAAATTAACAACTGAGAAACTTACATTTTGCTATTTTCTAGCTTAAAAATGAATCTGAATAAAGGAAGCTAAATTGTGTCTTTAATTAATGTTCACACTAGCAGTGAATAATCTGATTGGCAAAAGACCATGTTTTTGTAAACCAAAGAATATAAATGTTTTTTAGAAGAAAAATATCTAAAGAACAATGCAAAATTTGAATAAATAAATAATTTCAAATGCATTTTGCATCTGCTGACATGAGCTGTGATTAAAATCAAGATGAAAATCACTTTGATCACTCCACATGGAGCAAAGTGAGTGCATTGTAATAGCTTCTGTTATTTCTTCATTCAAAACAAGACTAAGTTCTTTGTGCAGGCATTAGTACTTCCTACAATCACTAAACATTGCATTCTTTCCCTTTTGTTTTTTTTTTTTTCTTGGCCCCTACTGAACATTGGAAGTTGGGGAGATTCACTCCCAGTGAGTGTTGCTTTCTTACCTTCCACTTTAGTGAGGTGATAATCATTTCTCAGTGATAGCAAAATATTGCTACTGAGAACACAAGTTCTTTGTACAAAGACTTTTTGATTTTCTGATTACCATCAATCTCTTAAATGGAAACTTCCTTTTCCCAAACAGATGTGATGGATGTAGCATGGTCTCCACATGATGCCTGGCTGGCATCCTGTAGTGTTGATAACACTGTTGTCATCTGGAACGCTGTCAAATTCCCAGGTGAGAGCTCGAAAAATGTGCCAGCATGTAAAGCTTTGTGACTAAGTTTTCCCTCCTTGGGTGTATTTCTCTGACTCTTCAGGTCTCTAGGAGGCATTGGTTGTCTGTCTTTTGGGGTGACACACCTGCAGTCTGGCAGGTCAGTCCTTCTTCCAGGTTTGGATGGCAATGAGCAGGGGATTCCACCCTGCTGCAGACAACAGCTGCATTCAGGTGTGCTGCTAATTTTACATGAAAGTCATGATTGCCTGTGTTTATTTACATGGCATTTATTTTAATCTGGCTTCCAATTCTGATACGAGAGTGTTTAGGCTTTGAAGCTAATTGTGCACCCTCTCAGCCTCTCCTCCCACAGGCTGATAAGCAAGAGTGTGACTGAAAGTAGGTTACCAGGTCTGCCAGCCTTGTGTGTCTGTTGAGTCACAACTTTGACTTGGTTCACACTTGCTGCACAAAGCTGGATTAGTTGTGATAATCTTTGGGTGTGGAGGAAAGGGCGAGTGTTTAACTGAAATTCCAGTTCAAGTGCTGCTTTCCACAGCTTCAGAGTGCTGCTCTGAAGTGCTGGGACTCTGCTGCTCTGACCTGTCTTCTAAAGAGTTTTGCACCTCTTATTCTGGCCAGAACTCTCCTTACGACTTCTTTTATATCAGTTTTTTCTTAAGTACAGGTTCCAGTTTGGTTGACATGTTGTTTCTACACTAAAGGAGGTTATGCTTAATACACTGTTCCAAAAAGATGTTGTAAATTTTCTCAAGGCTCTGCCCTGAAGGAGTTAGCAGTAACTACTCTTTATTCTCAATTTTTATGTGCACAGAAATTCTTGCCACTTTGAAGGGGCATTCTGGCTTGGTGAAAGGGCTGACCTGGGATCCTGTTGGAAAATACATTGCCTCTCAGGCTGATGATCGGAGTCTGAAGGTGTGGCGGACCATGGACTGGCAGCTGGAAACCAGCATCACAAAACCTTTTGATGAGGTACTTCACAATGGGTGACTGTTCCAAGTGAATTCCCAGTATCCAAAAAGAATGAATGAAAATAAAAATAACTCGGATTCTGCACGAACATGAATTACTTGAACAGTGCTGAATCAAATAAAGCTCTCAGATAGCAGCTACAAAAGAGGGGAAAAAAAGAATTACTTTCTCATAAAAATATGATTGACTAGAGACTCTCGTTGTCATTTGTTATTGTGGATGTCAGAAGTTTACATGGGTTATATAAGCAATTAAGTAGACTTCTGAAAATGTAGTGGTTATTCTGGGGAAGTGTTTGCACACTGATCACAATAGTCTGACATTTTTCCCTATGCATCTTCTATTGGCCACTATCAGAAATGAGGTAAGTACTTAGGAGGAGTCTTTGGTCAGGCATCATAGGGTTCTTAGGTGATGATTTTGATAAAGAGATCAAGTTCCTGGGGACAGAAGCTGGTGCTTGGTGAGTGGAGTGTTCTGCAGTGATCTCAGTCTGCTTCCACTCACCTGGGAGCTGGTGTGGCAAGCTACAGTCTCATCATTAATGGTTGCTGTGTTGCAGCCCTGTTACTAACCAGGACCGTGATAAACACTGAGGAAACAGTATCCAAAAAGATGTTACATTTGTCTTTCCTTTAGAAAAGTTCTCTGAGTTCCCTTCCCCCCCTTTTGATAGGGTTTCTTAAGTTACACTACATCACCTGTGTAAGCATGGCCAAATGCTGAGAATTGTGTGTGATGTCATTCTTTTATACTCTCAGGATACTTTGTAATCATATTCCCTAAATCTGAAATTTAAATAGTTTGTATTACAACCCCTTTGTTTGCCAAACACTTTTAAAGCTCTGGTATATTCTTTTTTTTTGTCAGTGTGGAGGGACAACTCATGTGCTGCGCCTTAGCTGGTCACCTGATGGTCACTATCTTGTTTCTGCTCATGCCATGAATAATTCTGGACCCACTGCTCAGATCATTGAGAGGGATGGATGGAAAACCAACATGGATTTTGTAGGGCACCGGAAGGCAGTTACAGTAGTGGTGAGTGAGTGGTAGAAATTTATCCCTGAAGTTAAAACTTGTTGCTTTTTGATGATTTTATGTATAAATAGGACAAGAAGTGAAGATGGGTGTCAAGCTTAGTAAAGCAAATGCATGGTGGTGATTAAAAAATGTCAGCTTTACATGTTGGAAGCAATCAGGTGGCCGTTGTGATAGGAGAACTGGATGTAGATGAACGAGACAAAGGGGAATACAGGAGCATGTTAGGAATGTCAAACTTCAGCTTTGTTGGCTGTTCAGTGACTTGATTAAAATGATTTAGGTTTCTAGTGGGTTTCTGATCCTTAGTAAAATTAATATTGTTTGCCTTTTCTGTGAAGGCATTCAGAAAAGCCCTTAAGAAAGCCTCTGCAGCTTTTGTCAGTGCTCTTATAGAGTCTGGTTCAGGACTTTATTTCTATGAAATGTTGTTTTTTCACTCTTAAGTGGAAAATTTGCTTTGAAAGCAGATCTTCTGCTGAAAAGTAATTACTGTGATAAAACTTGGGCATCTCATTTGTTCAGAAATTCAATCCAAAAATCTTCAAAAAGAAACAAAAGAATGGGAGCTCCACCAAGTCAAGTTGTCCCTACTGCTGTTGTGCTGTCGGTAGCAAAGATCGCTCTCTGTCTGTCTGGGTAAGTGATTGCTTTGCTGCCTTTGAACTAATGTGGTCATTGGATAACCTGGGGGTTTAGCACAAAGGTCACATGTACAGCATTAGGTCTCACATTTAGTGTCATGTTTAGGGGTTTTTTTGTCTCTGTTGTTACAGGTTTAGCTGGGAGGGAAGGAGGTGGATTGGTATTAGTTCATTTCTCTAAAGGCAAGAGCAGTTAGAAGCCAGTGGCAGAGTGTGCCCTGGTAAGGGGGAGCAGCTTCAGCTAATAACTGCAACCTTATTTTCTTCCTTTTACTTGTCTTCTGTCCTTATAAAGGAAAGGGATGTGAAAGTGAATGAGCTTTTTAAGTATTCTTTCAAGTTTTTGATATCTGATTTGGGTTTTACTTTAAAATCTACACTAAAATTTTTATTCTGGTTAAGAGAAGAGTAGCTATTTTCACATTTTTAAATGCAACTGGCAAATACAGGGAATCAATTCAACTGATTTTTAAAGCTTTCTGATGAGAACTTGTGCCAGAACCCACCAATTGCTAACTGCAATCTACTATTTATAGCTTCCAGTGTGATATTTATCCATCAATCTCTGGATGCATAACTAAACCTGTTTCTGGTAATGCTACCAGTGCATACCCATATCAAAGTATCACTCGGTATATTTTACTTTCTATTTATATTATGAAGATTTCATTTGGAGTGGCTGTTGAAATTACAGAAGGTAGCACAGAGATGCAGTTATAGGTTGTCTTTGCCCTGAGGAGCTTAATAAACATATATAGAGCACAGGCCTATGGAAGCATAAATAACTACTGAAGATGACAGTGACACTGCATCTATGAACCTGTGAGCATAAAACTTCCTTGACCTTATCAACCTCTGCTTCATTTCAGTTGTACTATACACTTAGAGATATTAAGTCCATTGGTTTGACATTAAAGAGCTTAGAATGTCTAATTTAGAGCAGGTTAATGGAGTTTTCATATTCAGTTCTTTATTACTAAGCTGATTCTTAAGTGCATAGGAATCCTCTTTAAGAGTTATTGTGAGTCAAATTCCCTTTGCTCTTGATAGGTTTCACTTTCTCAGACAAGTAGTCTGAGTGAGGACATGGAAACCTAATCTGTTCTCTGTCTTCTTGTGCTGGCAGTTTGCAGCATCCTTATCTCAGTACAGCTTAGAATAGAAGCTGTCTTTCACATCTGTGGAATTGCTTTTGGGGTTGCAGAGAGGTGTTTTAAGACTGTGGTGTAAAGGTAAAGTTGATTAAGAAATTCAGTCTGTGTTTCAGAAAGGAGAATTGAATGTCGGCTGTTCCTCTCCAGAGGTTTTCTGCCCCAGCAGTGGAACAGGTGACTTGGTGCTTCAGATGCAGCACCAGGCACGCAGCTGTTTCCTGGCCAGACCTTGTTTGGTGCATATTGTGAGGCTCTGGGAGAATGTTAATGTGGTAGTGTTGAACTTCTACATTTCTGAACGTTATTTCTTGTTTTCTTAAGCTCACGTGTTTGAAGCGACCTTTAGTTGTCATCCATGAGCTGTTTGACAAATCAATCATGGACATCTCCTGGTAAGTTGATTTCTGCTGTTTGTTATGGAAGCCAAACCATTGCTATCAATTTTAGGTGTACTTACTAGCTGGAAATGCCTTAGAACAGTACAGATTGTGGTTGTTGGAGCACAAGTAATTGGTTCCTGTAGGTTTTGTTTCTGCTGCAGCATCTTTGGTATTAATATGAGCAAATAGCACATGGTCTCTTGAGATTATTAACCAAACAAACAGTAATGTATTTAGAGAAGACACAGTAACATAGCTGTGGAATGAGTTTCTACTTGTTACGATTCTCTGACATAGGTTGTCTTAATTCTATCACTTCCTCACTTCTGAAATTCTCCCTTAATAGTTACAACAATCTCTTGGTGGGTTTATACTGGGAATTTTAAAGTTTCCTGGTTTCTATGTGCCATGTGGATTTTGCCTTGAAGCTCAGTGAACCACAAAAAAAAGTTTTCAAAACCAAAACATTTTTCTTTCATTAAGAGATTAAGGCTAGAAAGCCAGAAAGTGGAATGTTTCATGAGAAGTGCTGCTATTGTTATAGTACAATAGCTTTGAATAGTTTAGTTTTCCTGTAGTGTTTTTTATTTCTCCATCTGCAATTTGCACATTTTTCATGGCATGAAGTCATTGGGAGTAATAACTGGTTAACATTTTGTAGTGTTGTGAAGAAATGGTTTTGTGGGGATTTGAGAGACAAAGGATCATCAGGCAGCTTGGTATTTTATATCCTGTTTACAAATTGAAACAGATGGATAAAATGTCAATAATATGGAGTGTTCCCAGAAATGTGCTCCATTCTGAAAACAGACTGAGTAAATTCTGAGAAACCTGGTACTATTATATTGTTATAGCTATATAATTTCTGGTTTAGAAATGTAGACTTGGATCCATCAATATAATATCTGTGAGGGATTATGTTTTCACAGAACAATTGCTTGGATCCAGAGGTCAATAGGAGCTCAGCAATTTTCTCTGATAAACAAACAGAAAACTTTCAACATGAGTTTACTGTTTTCTGTTTTGGAGTATTGTTGTTGTACCTTGTTTCATGGTGCTGAGGCTGATTTCTCTGACTGTGATGCTATCAGGGCACCAGCTGCCACAAAAATAGGATTTTCCAAATGCCTGTAGCTGTGGTACTTGTAATAGATTTTTACTAACTTGGTTAGGACTTTAAAGTTGGGCCAGCTTTCCTTTCTTCTTCCCTTCTGTGTAACAATTCACCTGTAAGCCACTGTGTCACTGTCTCTGTGAGCTCTGTACTTAAAAGTGTCTGAGGGAGAAGTCAAAATTCAACTATTTTTTTCAAATGTGCAGTAATAGGTTACATATGCAAGATTATAATTCTACTTAGTTTCTTCTCTCTCATTTTGCTAAGAAAACCTGACCTCCAGAAGAGGGTTACTATGTACCCCACAAATAAACACATGTGCAGTTTGCTTGAAAACCCAAATAATTGAACAGTAACAAAATCAAACCTGTGTTCTTGTCTAGTACCAAGATTTTTTGGCCTGCTTGTCAGCTGAGGGCCCATTTCTTCACCCACTTCCATTAGCACAAAAATTTTGCTCATCTATTGAAGGAAATGCATTTATAATTTTCTCTCACTGTTCATTGTGAACACTACTCAGGTTTACACCTTCAGGAAAGTTTCCATGGTGCTGCTCCTGCCATGGGCAGGTTATTGTCCCAGTGCCACCATCCTTGTGCAGTCTGCAAAGGAGCATTGGCACAGGGACTCTGTCATCCTGTCTCCTCACTGTCCCACCTCTCTGGTTCCATGAATTATTGCTTTGATAATAAATCTTAAGCTGAGATTTTTATTGAACAATCTATCAGATTTTATTGAACAGTCCATCATCTTTGCTTGAATGAAAGAGATTAAAAACAAAGTTGGACCTTTATTTCCCTCAGGACCCTTAATGGACTTGGTATCCTGGTGTGTTCCATGGATGGATCAGTGGCATTTTTGGACTTTTCCCAGGATGAACTTGGGGATCCACTCAGTGAGGAGGAAAAGGTACAGTAAGCACTCAGAGAACCTTTGATCATATTTCAGGGATGTATTGATTCAATTAAAATGCTGACCTGTTTATTGAAGTATGTAGTAACTGATTTCCATATTATAGAAAATATGTTGCTTTTGTCTGCTTTACAAATCATTAAAAAAGAGTAGCCAAGTGAATGTGTGGTATTAGTTTCTCTTCTGGAAAGAAAGAATTTGGAAAGCATCCACTTGCTTACACATCATTATACATCTGAAGTAATTATTTGGCCAAGGAAACAAGAAGTGAGTGCTTCAAAGCACTATAAAATTACTCCTTCACTTGCATATATGCAAGTCTTTTTAAACTGATTGCTCTTGGCTGTTTTTCCTCTCATTGCTATTAGCAACTATAGAGCTTTGAATTTCATTTATTTTACATATTGATTTAGTGTTAGTTGAAAACACAAAGAAAAAAATCTGGTGTATAAATGCTACAGGGGGAATTTTATGGATTCCATTAGATTTGTGTGATTCCCTTGTATTACAATCAGTGATGTCATGGTCACTCACATCTTTCATGTCCCCAGAGCAACATTCACCAGTCCACCTATGGCAAAAGCCTGGCTATCATGACTGAAGCTCAGTTGTCCACCACCATTATTGAGAATCCAGAGATGCTCAAGTACCAGCAGAGGCAGCAGCAGGGGGATCAGAAGAATTCCTCAATTCGGGAAGGCTCTGGGAATTCCACAGCTCCCAAAGTGGCAAGCATGGTTAATGGGGAGAGTCTGGAGGACATCAGAAAGGTAGGTGGGCTCTGGCAAATACTGAGTCACTAAATAGCAAACTGTTAGGAAAGAACCAGTTTCTATGCTCTTATTTGTGTCAATGGCACCTTTCAGCCTGTGTACGGCCCAGCTGATCAATTAGTGGGTCATTATGGGGACCTGTTGAAAAGTTAAATGCTTTTAAGCACAAGGCAGGCTATGTGAAAGCAGGCTTGTGGATATTTCTGTGATAGGTGCAAAATTCTTGGTGTGCAGAAGGGAAATCAAGAGTAACTAATGACAGAGAAGCTGTTGAGCTGTGTTTCAGTTTCTTAATTACAGAGGTTGAAAGCATTATTTAGTTCTGTCCTAAACACAGAACACAATTTTTAATTAAAGATTTGATATGCATAATGTTTTAGATTGATTCTAAAGTGGAGAGCAGATTACATTCTCCACAAATGCCTTTTCTACAGATGGATAGGTTGAAAATTGGAAAATTGTTTGTGTTTATGGGAAAAAGTCTTTGCTAACAGATTTTTAATTGAGACACCTCTTCTAATATATCTATTATTGTCAGTTTGGAAAAAAATTAAAAATAGCATTTCTTATTTATCAGAAATTGTGACAAAATGTATTTCCCAACAGAATCTCTTGAAAAAACAAGTGGAAACACGAACAGCAGATGGTCGGAGAAGGATCACACCTCTCTGCATAGCTCAACTGGACACTGGGTATGTTTGGAAGTAATCCATAAAATCCTTCTCTACCTTCTTATATTTTTGTTTGTTTGTTTGTTTCCCTGTTCCAGGCTTGGCATTACATCTTAGGGCATCATAAAGCACTTACTGGAAATAAGTGTGTATTCTTATAAAATACAGTTTCAACCAGTGTTCTTTGGCCATAAGATCTCACTTCTAATAGATCGGGCTAATTCTCATTATTTACTGTTATAGGGGAACAATGCTCTAATGTATTGTTGATTCATATCTATATTAGTACCAGCTTTAATATCCTTTGGATATGAGAAATTACTCTGAAAAGGTACTGGGGATTTATTTAGGTTGTATATGAGTATCTACATGTGGAAAAAGGAAGAATGGAATAAATATTTTAGCTAAAACTACTATTTTTGAATTATCTTTAAAGTGGTTTTGAGAAATGTATTTGTTGTTTGTCTTTTTGTTTAGGGATTTTTCTACAGCATTTTTCAATAGCATCCCAATATCTGGAACTCTGTCTGGCTCAATGATGTCTTCTCAAAGTAACCAGCAGCTCATGTCACTAGATTCGAACGCAGCAAATTCCCTCAATACTTCAAAGCCTTCTGTAGAGCCAACAGCAGCCAGTATAAAACCAACAGATGATGCAGCCAATAAAGATGGGTCAGTATTTGCTGTTTTGTTTTTCACTCACATAAGTCTGTTTAGTTTTTAATTCTTATTTATAGTTTTATAATGAAGAAATTATTAAAGTAGTTTCCTTATTGCAAAACCCCAAGAATCTAATCTTCCTGAAAACATTGGGATTTTATTAGTGTTTGGTTACTTTAAATGTTGATAAATTGGGAATGAATAAATGCATGTGCATAGTTCTGGCAGTGGACTTCAGTGCAGTGAAGTACACAGCTGATTGCTAATGCTTTAGCAAAATGACTTGTTGGTGGGTTGCTATTAGTACAACAATAGAAGGTGTTCCAGTAGTGTAAGGAATGAAACCTACTTTTCATCAAATTCTCACCTGAGTCCTCTCTTCAGACATAGTGATCCTTCTTTCCTATACAACAGCCCCATCAGAGCACAGTGACATTGGCTTGTCAGTGCACATGTGCTGATGGGCCAGCGTGTCTTTCAAATTAATTACAGAACAACTGAATTTTACTTGCTTTTCTCTCAGTAGTAGCACTGACCTGACTTCTCAGTGTGTTTTTATAGCATTTGTAGCAGCACAGTGTCATTGAAACCTCTACAACTCCATCAAATTTGGTTGAAATTGGCCACAGATTAAAAAATGAGCAGGTGGACTATGAGAAATGATTGACAGATGAAACTATTAAGTATCCTTTTCTTTGTAAATTGTACTTCTAGCAGCTTTTTAGTACAAGCATCAGTTATTTTAGAGCCATTCATTCTCTGAATTAATTCTCTGAATGAATTGAAAAATCTCTAAAGTAAACAGCTATTGAAATAGTAGATCACTGGAATGCTTTAGTGTGGGGAAAACACATTCCTTTGCCCTAGAGTTATGCTTGGAAAGGCCTAATAATCAGGTTGGATTTTTCAACAACAAAATCTAAACCTGGCATGAATTGTTTCATCCCCAATTGTTTGCTTGATAAACAGTGAAATATAATATTGTAATGGAAATATTTGGTAACCTGAACAAGGGGTAGAAGCAGGAACCCCTGTGATCATTTTAAAAAGTGATCCTTTCTCAGTAAGTACCAGCTGAAAGTATAATTTCCTTCCTGAATTTAAAATACACAGTAAATGAATTAGGGTCTTTTAATCCAGATATGTGGCCACATGAAGCTCTGAGGTGTACCATAGACAGCTTTTGAGAGTGAGCAAAGCTTGTAAACACTGATGCATGAAAGAGTGGAAAAAGAATATTATAACTGATTATATATTTGAGTGAAAGGTTTTCTAGCCACTATCATGAGTGCTAGTTGTTATGAGCAATGCAGTTACCAGTACTAAATTTTTCAATCCTTATTTTGCTGTCTCTTTTCTTGACAGTGTAAATGCTACCTCTGCCTCAGCTGCTCCTTCTGCATCGTCTTCCTCTGTGTTGACAACTCCATCCAAGATTGAGCCCATGAAAGCATTTGATTCTCGATTCACAGAACGATCCAAAGCCACCTCAGGGACTGCTGTTGTAACAAACACAAATCAGACTGTTGTGGACAGGTAAGACATAGCCTGGGGAGGGAGGAAGGGAATTATGTAAAGTTGAAACCCTAATTCTGTGTGGTGTAGATGTCACACTGCTGACACTCTAGAAGTTGTCTTGAGTTTCTTTCACTATTGGAAGGAAGGGAGCAGCTACAAATAGGTGAATTCTGTCCTGCTGTTACCCTTTGTACATTTGTCCCTGGCATTTTGGTATCACACAGAATCTCCAAGATATCCCAAGTTAAAACTATTGTTGTAAGAGGCTGTGTGTGCACAGGCCTTTGTCACTGAGTGCAGCTGGACTCCTTAGAAGACAAAACCAGCCAAAAATAGCCAGCCTGCATCTCTGTACAAGAGAGATTTACTTCAAGGTAAATTACCATACATGTCAGCAGATGACCTCTCATCACCACAGCTGCAGTTGTATTTCAGCTTTATGCCTTGAAGGCATGCAGAGAAGATTCTCTGAGTTTAAAGGGTTTTGGCTCTGGATCCATGTGATTAAAAAAAAAAAAAAAGGAAAGCATTTTGGTTTGACATAGTGTTATGGCATAAATATTCCTGTTTCACCAAAACAAATGATAAAAAAATACCAATCTTGAGAAAAAAGTATGTAGTTCCCCAGTTATTATCAGTAAAACTTGGTTTTATACATCAATATTTTTATGTTAAAGAGCTTAACCATGTCATGCATAAGCAAGATGTATTAAATTATTCTCATAAATGCTTCTAATGTGTCATTAAAATATGGATAAAAGAGTATTGTTTGGCATAATTCAGATGCCAGAGAAAAAAGGTTTGGATTATGCAAGGTATTTCTCTGAAGCCAAGTAGTTAAGGAATAAATGGCAGAACAGTGTGAGTTAATAACCAGCTATTGGAGGGAAAGGGAAGAGTATGATTAAATGACCTATTTTAGGATATAATGGTTAACAAGGGAGTTCACAGGTATTGTACTTTGTATTGGTTGTATTATATTCAGTTATAAAGGGACATGGACCTGTTGGAGCAAGTCCAGAGGAGGCCACAAAGGTACTGAGAGGGCTGGAGCAGCTCTGCTGTGGAGACAGGCTGAGAGAGGAGCTGGGGCTGCACAACCTGGGGAACAGAAGGCTCCAGGGTGACCTTAGTGCAGAGCCTAGAGGGGCTGCAACAGAACTGGACAGGGACTTTTCACAAGGGCATGTAGTGACAGGACAAGGGAGAATGGCTTCAGACTGAAAGAGGGCAGGTTTGGATGAGATATTAGTAAAAAATTCCTTACTGTGAGGGTGGTAGACACTGGAACAGGTTGCCCAGAGAAAATGTTGATGTCTCATCCTTGGAAGTGTTCAAGGCCAGGTGGGATGGGGCTTGGAGCAACCTGGCCTGGTGCAAGGTGTCCCTGCCCATGGCATGTTGTTGGAATCAGATGGTCTTTAAGGTCTCTTCCCACTCCAGCCATTCTGTGATTCCATAGTTATATTTCCTGGAATGGAAGCTGGAGCAGTGAAGTCATGTGTGTGGTTTGCAGATACACATTTTGCAGCAGTCAGAACTGAACAGAACAACTTCTGGGGTTAGACAACAGAATGACAGAAGTTCTACATGAATAAGCAGAAAGTCAAATGTCCACTGAAGGGGAAAAGTTGAACTACTCTTGCATCTTAGAGTGCTGAATTATTTGTATCAGCTCAGGGAAAGAGATCTGATGGTAATTGGAACTGAATGCTTAAGTAAAGTTGCTATTTCCAGCTTTTTCCCATGGCTAACTACTGGTTTGATTAATTTTTTTTAAAGGGGAGAATATGTCTGCTTGGTTTACATCTATATTGCACATTGTCCTTTTGGAAAGGGTTTGCCATACCTCTACAGCTTCCTCCTCCTGCCTTTGTGTGCTTTGAAATACACTCAAAGAGGGCTCAGAAATGTCATCTGATCTGCAAGAAGGCAATGTGTAGGATATATGGCAACTTTTGGAATCAGCTTTTTTTTACAGACTTTTTTTTTACAGACTGAAGGATCAGAATTTAATTAAAGACAATAAGCCCAAGGATATTCTGGAGAGCAGCAGTGACAGTGAAGAGAAGATTCCAGCTGTCAAACCACTCAGTGTACCCAAACGGAAACTGGAACTTGAGGGAGAAACAGTAGAAAAGAAGAAAAAAGGAAGGCCTAGGAAAGACTCCAGACTTGTACCAGTAACTTTAACTGTTCAGGTGAAATATATAAAATTCATTGTGGCTTTAAAAGTTCATTTAATAAAGTCAGTCCCCTGTTGACTTGTTCCATTGACTCAGGGAAACACGAGTAGTATCACTCCCTCAGAATTTTAGCCATCCTTATTCCATGCCTTTAAACTTACTGGGTTTAGAATTTAAGCTTAGAAAAAGCAGGTGCACATGGTGTGGCAAGTGTGTTTATCTTTTATATAGATATGTAAGGTCCCTAAGTAATGCTAACTGCCAAAGACTGTCTAGAATAAAATGAAATGCCAACAGTTTTTGGTGGTTTATGATGGAAAGTGGTCCAAGAACAAGAAAGTGACTTGGATATGGTGATTTAAATGGTTTTAAATTTTCTCAGAATTCTAAAGTAGTTGCATTAGAGTTTCCACCATTTTCAGGCATATAGATACCTGTGTTTTCAGTATCTAGAGCTTAGATTTTCCATGTAATACACCAGAATTTTCAGGAATTAGTTGCAGCTGAAAGTAGGAGGGTTTAAAAAAAAAAAAAAAGAGAGACCACTTCAAGTTTTGTGTTTTTCTTTGATTCTTAGAAGCTATATTTAAAAACTTGTATTCATATAACCAATTGGAACAAGACTAACATTTGCAATTGGCAGTATTTGGAATTTTAAGAAAATTCTTTTTCAAATCAATCTATTTGGTAGAATATATTTGGTTTTCACTTTTTTAATAAAAAATATAACTATTTTTGCAATTTTTTTCCAGTCCCCAGCTACACTGGCCTCTGAGAAGGATGCTGCTTGCATCTCTGCACCAGCATTAGCACTTAAACTGCCAACCCCAATCCCACAGAAATCGTTTACTTTGCAAGTAAGTGGACTATAAGGAAAAAATACTTTAAAGACAAACAAAAAAATCCTGCTTTCTTTTAAATATCCTAAGGTTATTCACATCCTTTGATGAGTTAACGTTTGAATGCATGTGTTTGTTCAAGCAAGCAAGATGGTAACGCTTTAGCTTCTAAGAATATGTCTTTATGAGCAAATAAAATGGCAAATCAGCTAAAAATGGGTCACTTCTGACCCAGCTAAACTCCAAAGAGGAGTGAGTACCTCTGGTTCATCAGTCCCTCCCCCTGGTTAGCCAAAGTGTGGGGTGGAGATAAGAGTCTCTGGGGGGAGTGGCTGTTGCACTGTTACTGCAGTGGTGTGGGGAGTACCCCACTGAGGAATAAAACCAGGGCTTTTCTGAGACCTCTCTGGAGGTGCTCTGCATCTGAACAGCGTGGCAAATAGCAATGTTTTAGGTATTTATGAAGCAGTTTTTAGGTGTGTTCAGGCTGTGTGTTCAGACTACCAGGCTGTGGTAGTCTGGTTCCAGTTGCAAGACTGTGGGGAGACTGGGCACATACAGACTTGATCTGGTGCCCATAATTAGGAAGCAGAGACAGACTAGCACAGCCTTTCCTTATGTTTGTGCTTCAAATACAAAGAAATTACTTGTGTTTTAGGCAAGGCTGATTTTCAGAAGTCTGCTTCTTTTGAAGTGCCATGGTATATTTTGAACCCACATTAAACAGAGAATGCCATACTTAAATGTGTTCTTAAAGACAGCATTGTTTTGGTTCTAATAGTAGTTGCTGCTTTTTTGAGTAGTTTTTTTCCTCTTCCAAGAATTATTTTATTTTTTTATATTTCAGATAAGTTCAGATCCATCAATGTACCTTGAAGTGGAGAATGAAATGACCACGGTGGGGGGCTCAAAGCTGAGCAGGTTAAAGTGTAATAGAGAGGGGAAGGAATGGGAGACAGTCCTGACCAGTCGAATCCTCGCTGCAGCAGGAAGCTGGTAAGACAGTATCTTTTGGAGGAAGGAGGTCCTGAAGGACAGAAGACATTTTTAGGTGTACAAAAGTACAGTTTACAGTTATTTTTCATAATATTTATGGGTAAACGTGTGCACTGCTCTTAGCCTCAGGTTTTGCTTCAAGAATTAACTCTAAAACATCACAATTTGGATTAGCCAGTTACAACTATTTTTCTGTATTTTTACATTTCTCCTTTAAATTTCTTCATTGAAGTTGACTAAATAGTAAGTGACAGGTTTTCAAGTGCTAACTACTAAAGAATGAAAAATTTGAAATGGCATATTTGGTCATGTTGAAGTATTTTCCTGAGTCTTTTGCTATTTTTTCTCTTAATTTTTCTCAATTTTGCCTAGTTCCAACTTCAGAGTTTCAAGTGAGCCCCGTCTAGGTCTGAAAAAGAAGCAGCAGATTTTAAAGCTAAATACAAGTACAGCCTTGAGGGAGAGCTTGTGTATAACCAAAAGCTTTACTGATATTTCCAGCTATGCCCCTTGGTCTGTTTAGTTTATGACTTCTCCTCTTGGTATTGAAAATTTTGTCTTAAAGCTGCAATAGTTAGTTTTTAGGGAATTTACCCAAGTTGTATGATAGCTTAAGAATTCAGCCTGTTGTTATGTTACTTGCATTTGACAGCACACAAATGTTCCCTGTTTATTTGTTTGGTTGGGTTTTTTTTCCAGTGAGATTGTAACTGTGGCCTGTGAGAAACGAACACTGTCAGTATTCTCAGCTTGTGGTCGTCGCCTTCTTCCTCCTATAATATTGAACACACCCATTTCCACCCTGCACTGCACAGGCTCCTGCATCATGGCTCTCACCACTGCTGCTACGCTCTCTGTTTGGTAAGGGCCACGTTGCCTCAGGCCATGTTCATGGGTACCTTCAGTTGTTGAGGCAGGAGCTTAAACCACATCAGCTCTGAGCACAAGTCCACTTTTGAATAGACTATGCAGAGTTAACTGGGCAGGACTGGTTCTCTCTCAGCAAAATCCTGTTTCTGCTCTGGCAGTGCAGAATATTGAACTTCATTCTAGAATGAAGATAAAGAATCAGCTGGATTTAATCAGTTTAAGTGCTTGTGATGCATGTGGAATGGAATGGGGGGTGGGGAAGAGAAGTATGGATACTTCCATCTTCCATCACACTTTACCAATGAAGCACATGAGTCTCAGAGTCAAAGTTCTCCAGCCATTTTTAAGATGCCAAGATAAAAACACTGGTAACTCATTTGCAGTTGTTGAATTCAATCTAATGTCTCAGGCAAGTCAGAGCTCCTAAAGGAATTATTTAGAGAATTATTTAGATCCTCACTGTTTGCTTTGTTGTAATGAGGTTTCCTGATAAAGAGCCATAAAAATTGTTCTCTGCTATTAACTTCTGTCTTGCCATAAGGGGTTTAAGTTTGCCAAAATAATTTTGTCAAAGCAATGAAGAAATGTCAAAACAAAAAAAAAAAACTAAACAAATTTCCCACCCCCCCACTTTGTCATGAATAGTGAAAAAGTGCATTTCTTAAAAGATTTTGGAGTTTTCAGTTGTTTGTTGACTGCAGACTTGTCCTTTTGTCTTTTTCAGGGATGTTCACAAGCAGACAGCCATTGTCAGAGACGAGTCTTTGCAAACAATATTTTCAGGTAATAAAAAAGTCCTTTAATTACCAACCTTTGAGCCCACCTGTACTGTTTAGTGCCATTTATGAATATACTGAAATTCTATGAACCTGAAAAGCCTAAACAAATAATTTCCCTTCATTATTGTGTAGTAAAGGGAAGTTCTTGAAATAACAGTGATGACAATATCAGTGAGTAGCAAACTTGTGTGAGATTCTGTAGCTTATAGTCTGCCTTGCTTTTACATTTCCACTGAATGTAGAAATTCAGTGTTGTGAAGATCACAAAATAAATACTTAATGTAAATCTGCTATTATAGCAATTTCTCTGTAATTTGCATGTTTATTGTCTCAGTGCTGAACAACTGATTATATTCTGATTCATTACTTAAAAATCTTCATTTTCAATCACTGCAATGTGTGGCACAACACAAATCATCAGAAAAGCAGTGTCTCAAAGTACATGAGCTTCTGGTTTAGCTTTAATCCATCCGGTACTAATCCAAACTAGCCAGAAAGCAGTTGTATTAGCAGTTTGCAAATGTCATCATTAGAAATTACATGCACAAGCCCTGAGCTTGGAATATGCTGGGAAATGAGACTCCAGCTATCCCACTTATACTGTGCTCTTAGAGAGCACACTTTTCTAAATATGCTGGGGATTATAATTTTAATTTAATGGGAAAAAGAAAGCCAAAGGCTTTTTGGGTTACAAAAGACATGGCAGAATTGGTGAAGATTTTCCTAGATGAGGAAAATGTTCCTAATTTAGCTCATTTTCTGTATAAATTGCAGCATCAAGATTGATAATGTATTTTGCAAAATTGATGTTAATGCTATTGCACTGAGTCTGGTGCTTGCCATCATTAGCTTGTGTCTTGACTTTTCCTATCAGTGCTTGAGAACAACATTGAACCTTTTTCTGTTAGTTGCTGTCATTGATAAGAAATGGTGGATACCATTTTTTACCATTATGAGTCTTAGGCAAGACTCCAAAAGAAACACTTTGGTCTGGTTTGACTTGCAGGAAGTGATGCAACTGTCTCTCAGATCTTGCTGACTCAGCATGGAATTCCTGTCATGAGCATGTCTGATGGGAAGGCATACTGCTTTAATCCTTCTCTTTCTACATGGTAAGTCATGGATTACTCCCTGATTTTGCAACTCACAGGAGCTGATGGGTTCTGATTTACTGGGAAGAAATCATTCTACCTCAGAGTCAGGGAAGATACATTGCTAAAAACAAGGAAAGGCTACACAAGAGTCTGTGTCTTGCTGGGGATCAGATGGGCTTTCCCCATGGAGAGGCATAAGTTCCTGTGAAAAATTTCCATGGGTAAATTATTTACAGGATCTTTCCGAAACAGGTTCTTTGTTGTCTTCCTAAGAAGAAAAAAAAACATGTTGTAATCCTAATATAATTGTTGTAATTAGTGTAATGAGCCTGCTGGATGAAAGGGCTTATTGTTGTAACTCCTCCTTAGAATAATTGTTTTTATTCAACTACTCTGGAATCCTCTGGAAAAGGAAAAATACCCTATTTGTTTATTAAGGGAGTAAGGAGCAGGGGACAGACTCTCAGCCATAATTCTGAGTTTGCTGCTGTTTCTTAGTTTGTACCATGGCTTGGGAAATACATAAAAGAGCAATGTGTTTAGTCATCATACACATTTAAACATGTTAAAGCAGCAAAGGGTATTTTAAATATTTGTACCATTTTACCCCTGTGCTGTATGAAATCTAAACTTAGCATTGGTTTGAGCCACTCTTTCTCCTGGCATCTCAAGCCAGTGAAGATGATGTCCTTAATTAGGTGTAGAAATGGCAGCTGTAATGTCAACTCCCTCCATATGAAGGGATAGCTGTAATTATGGAAAAGATTGTCAATGTGTGTGTGTGTCTGGTAGGGGGGAGACCTGACATAAGGTAAAATCAAGTTCTTAATGAGAAAGTCATTACCTGTGTTCATTCCACACATCATTCTCATCATTCTGGGTCATGTCTTCTTTTTAGATTGTAAAATGGCAAGGAGAAAATTCCTTCCAAATTAACAGTAAATTATATTATGTAATTAATGTTTTTTTACTTTGGGAGTAGGAGGGGCACACTACAAGCAGAATTTGGACATGTAGTGGGAATAATCAGGGTTCCTGGAATTCCTGAGCCACTTCAGTGATATTTTTTTGGTTATCTGTGAAAACACAAATCCACTTTTGAGGCAGAACAGAGCTCGGTCTGCTGACCTTGCTGTTTGCACACCTCAGACTTGCTTTTTGTTTTTTTGCTGTTTTCCAGGAATCTTGTTTCTGACAAACAGGACTCTCTAGCACAATGTGCAGACTTCAGGACTAGTTTGCCATCTCAAGAAGCCATGCTGTGTTCTGGGCCCTTGGCTGTGATACAGGGACGCACATCCAAGTACGCGCGCGCCACCTTCGTGTCAGCGTGGCTGGGTTTTGTCAGGGTCTTTACTCACCTACCTGGGTCATTGGATTATTTCTGAAATGCCAGTGGCTCTGAAATGATCAGTCATTCACACAGTGATCCTTTGCATGTTTATAGTCTGTATCTTAATGTTATGAGATTGTTTGGGGGGCAGGAAAGCATGCTCTAAATATAATCATTTTAAGTTTCCTCTTTATTGGATGGGTAAGGTATTGGACAATTCTGTTGTACTTTTATTAGCTAAACTGCATTTTTTTCCATTTTCCATTTTAATTTTTAGTTTACCAGCTTTCTGGAGTAGGCCTACAATTTTTGAGTTAGTTCAGTTGGCCTCAAAGAATCTATTTAATGAAGTCTTTGAGAAAGTTGAGATATTAGTCATCTAGTGAGTATTTTTAACATGTGAAAATTTCACCAAGGAATTGTGTGAGCCAGAGCAGATTCCTGTAGGTAGCTTTATAGCCCATCCTCCCTTGGATTTGAGTTAGATATCCCAGGCAGATTTCTTTGCTGTTTCTCCCGTCACATCCAAGTTTAATTTTTTCCAAAGAGAAACTGTGTAGTGTTGTATGATTTTATTGCTGTTTTCATGAGGGGAAGAGCAGTTCATTGTGAAAAGCATTTGAAATATAAACAAACAACACTCTTTTTGAGAGAGAGAGACAATAACAGAATGAAAAATTCCCTTTTTGAAAAAAAATTCTAATAACTAGTTACTTTTCTCAAATTAGCCTTCTTATGATAATGTGTTTGTATGCAAGAAATACTTTAAATGCTTTATGTCTTGTGTACCTCTGAAAGATCAGTGCAGTATACTTAGTGCTACAAAAAGATATAATCCTTAAACTTGTATCTGATTTTATGGCACATTAATCTTTTTGGTTTTGCAGTTCAGGAAGGCAAGCTGCAAGATTGTTCTCCATGCCTCATTTAGTGCAACAAGAAACAACACTTGCATACCTGGAGAACCAGATAGCAGCAGCACTTATTTTACAATCCAGTCACGAATATCACCACTGGCTCCTTATCTATGCACGGTACCTAGTTAATGAAGGTGAGACCTGCCAGGCTCTGGTGCTTCTCTGCAGCTCTAAGAAACACTCTGTTCATGTCATGGATGTGTGTGATTGCCCTTAACATCCTCCTTTTAGCACTTGGCTTCTGGACTGGGGTTTTCTTAAAACCAAACCAAATTGCATTTGCTGCTGCAGTGCTGAGTCTCTGGAGTCCTGTGTGGACACAGTGACTGGGGACAGACTGTCTGGGGAAGCAGGACCATCTGCAGACTGCAGGAATGGCAATTTCATTGTGAAACAGCCCAGTGGTCTGTCAGGCACATCCTAGGTATTGTCTGGCAGCAGCTACAGATGTTTCAGGGAAACCAGGAGCACCTTGTAAAATGCATAACCCTCCTCAGCCAGCTGACAATTGCTGCCTGATGTGAGGTGGAGGGGTTGCTCAGTCTCTGACACTTTGTACCCAAGCAAATAAAATTGCAGAGAATTTGCTTGTATTGTTTGCACTTTATTCTTTTTTTACATTCTAAAATTTCAACTTCCTCTACCGGTGAGTTCCACATGTTAAATTCTCTGAGAAAATAAATACACAAGAAAGGTTCCTTGTGTCTATTTTATATTTGAATATACTTTATCTCTATGCTATTATGTTAAATAAGGTTAACCAACTGACTTTATACCTTTTGGATTCTAAAGATCTCTGTTGTATCTCTGCCTGTCTACATTCATAATTTAATAGTTCCCCTTGTATTAATTCAGCCTTACTCCTCACCTTGCATAATCATTCTGCTCAGAGGGAAATGAAATGGTTCATGTTACGCCACCTAATAGGTGTTGGCAGAATTAAAATCAAACTCATTAATTCTTGCCTTTTGACCTTTACCTTATTTAACAAGAGAGCTTGTTGAACTGCATGTGGTTCTCTCTGTCCTTCCCCAGTTGAAATTAAAATATTCACCTTGGGTTGTACATTAAAGAGATGGTTCTACTTTTAAAAGCCTTCACTAACTGAGAACCTCTGCTGCATGCACTGGGTTCCTCTGGCACCTCCAAGTGTTGCTGCCATGGATGGATAGATGGATGTCACAAAAACTGTGCTTTGCCAGATGTGTATCACTGCTTCGCTAATTTTCTAGAGCTGCTGAACTTTGAAAATCGCACATCCTATTATTGCTCCTTTATTCTTATGATTATTTCAACATCTATTTAATTCTAATCCATTAAAATATTTGATTGAGTATATGTTGATTGGCAAGTTACTCTTGAATAGACTTTGTTTCCTGCAAGGGAATTCCCCTCTCTGATTTTTGGGTAAATAAAGGAGGCTCAGAAACTGTGTGTGGTTTTATTAAAGGTGTTTTGGTTTTTAAAAAGCTGGTATGTTTGTGTGGGAGGGGAGAGTGAGGTTGAGATCAGGGCACCTCTTAAAACAAGCTGGAGTAATAACAGCTTCAGACTTCAGTTTTTCTCCCTGAGGTAGATTCATCTTTAGTAGTGGGTTTGGTTTTGAGAACCTTAAATAAGACCCTTCAGAGCTCTAAAAATTATCTTATATTTCCAAAGAATTGCTGTAAGAATAAGAATATAACTTTCCTGAAATCAATGTTTTGAGCTTTATTTTATTCCAGATACTTGTAATTCTTTCCTGAATGTTGTCTGCTACATTGTGGAGTGGTTATATGTAGTGAAATACTGTCAAATGTGATTTTATTTCTGACTATCTCCAGGGTTTGAATATCGTTTGCGAGAATTATGCAAGGATTTACTGGGTCCAGTCCATTACTCAGCTGGAAGTCAGTGGGAATCAACAGTTATGGTAAGTTCTGATAATAGTTTAAGGAAGAACAAGGAAGAGTTTCCCATAAAAATTGCAGGATATTATCCTTTCCATACTCTGCTCTGATCACATAAGCAGGCTTTCTCCCATGGCACTGGGATTTATTCCATGTGAAACCACAGGCAAATGCTTGTTGCCCCAGTGCCAGCTCTGGTCCTGTCTTGAGTATCACACAGATGAAGGAGAGTTGCATGTTCAGCTCTCCACATTGTTGAGACAGCAGCTTTGAAACAGGTACATGCCAAAGACATCTTCCCTCTCAGAACAGAGCCTGGAGTCTGGAGCTGCAGAGGCTGCTCCAGCTTCTTGAGTGTGTAAATGTAAAGAGAGTTTTTATTCTGGGAGTCATGGAAGCCGAGTGAGAACATAAAATGCACAGCTCTCTCTTAAGGCAGGAAAAAGGGCATGAATCTTAGAGAGCTCCATGGAACATGTTAATCATAACAAATAATAGGTTCTGAGGATGCTTTTGTGTTTTCTGTGCAGGGTTTACGAAAGAGAGAACTATTGAAAGAGCTTCTTCCTGTTATTGGACAGAACCTCCGCTTCCAGAGGCTTTTCACAGAGTATCAAGAGCAGCTGGACATCTTGAGAGACAAGTAGCATGTCCCCAGATTTTCCCTGTGGGGCCTGGTCCCAGTGAAACTGCTGAACAGCGTTACCAGAGACAAGAGAGGAGCGAGAGCCCGGCCAGCGGGGACACTCCTGAAGAAGGGCTGTGCCACAGAGGTCCCTGGATTCCTGGAAATGATGAGTGCAGGAGCTCGACAGTTTCCCCAGTGAAACTTGACCATTGAAGCTGTGACCTCTGTTTCTATGGAAAGTCATGGATATGTACTTCAGGGGGATCCTTTTGGATCTGGATCTCATTTAATATTAAAACTAGCTGAGAACTGTTTGTGCGGTTTCTTGGATGTCCTGTGAAAAGCACAGTACTTCAGAGTACACTGAACAGCATATTTAACCCTGTTTGGGGTTTTTTGCCTGAGGATTTATTGAGGCTCAACACTATATTAAATTAGATGAATGAGCCACGTAAAAAGAAATTTCATAAATATTAAGGTATTATGCAGCCAATAGACTCTTTCCTGTGAATATAATAATAATAAGAGGCTGTTCTAACACATGGACTATTTTTGTACTAGAATTTGCTAACTTGTAATATGGAATTTTATTTGGCCAATAATCAGGCTATCACTACAAAGTCATCTTGTAGGAGTTTAATTACAAAGGCTATGTTTCAAAGTAATTCTACCAAATTAACATGTCATCATCAGGTTTTTAATTTTTCAATGTTTGTAAAAGGCATTTGGGGGGAGGGGGAGGGATACAATGGGGTGGCTCTTTTTGTAAGTACAAAATAAAAGAACGTTGCATTGGTTTAAAAAAAAAACAAAAAGCAAAAACATGGTCTTGAATTATTGCAAAGAGCACAGGCATTTCCAGAAATGTCAACACAGGCTGAATCACAGTAACGTGTCTGGAAATAAATAATTTTGTCTGGATGATCTTTCCTCAGAAAGCACAATCAGACAAGTGCTGGTGATGTCTCTGGACAGTTCCAGTGTTTGCCCCTGGAGCCCATCTCAGCCGAAGGAGCAGGAGCAGTGGGAGTGCTCATCCTCTCAGGGAATGCTCATCCTGTCAGGCACAGCCAGCAGGCTCCCTCACACTGAGCAGAGTGCCTGCACTGCAGCAAGGAGGGAGCTTTCTGCAGTTATGGCCATGTTCCTTGTGGAGTGCTTTTGGAATTCCACTAAAAACAAATCAAGTTGTTTTCTTTTCCCAGAGTGTACTTGGTGCTGGGACAGGAGCAAGTGAAGGTGTTGGTTCTTTGCAGGCCCTGCTCTTTGGATGTGCCTCAATGCCTTGCTTTGAAATGTTTTGAGTAAGAGAATCAAAATTATAAAGTGTATTTAAACCCTTGTAAAAGGGCAGTTTCTCCCCTAAATATCTAACAAACAATATCCTTCCCCTCAGCCAGGACAAGGAGTAGCTGTGCTGCTGTGGCCAAAGAGTCTGATAGTGGGAACCAGTTGTAATGTTGTAAATCATTCATATGCTGTTGCCAGTTAAATTACACTGGTGGGAACAAGTATTCTGTTCCTCAGAGGAGAACCACAACAACATGGAATCATAGACTCTCAGAAATCATTTAGTATAACCCCCTGCAAACAGAGCAGGATGTGCTCACCTTGTGCTCATGGATGCAGCCAAGGACCAGCTGATGGGATTGAAACAGGAGCTGAACACCATTTCTGGGAGCCTGGTGCAGTCAGTGGAGTCTTGCTGTCCACTTCCATGGATGTCACTCCAGTGGCTCTGTGTGGGCAGTGCCAGGGTGATGGTTTAACAAGGAAAGAAAAAAGGAGCATGAATGGATTTGGAGGTGTTTGATAAGTGGAATCTCCATGAATCTGGCTGTTTCATCCTGCTAAAGGCAAGGGATCCGGGTTGTGCTCATCCTCTGTTCAGCCTTGCTCATGCCAGTCCTAAGGGACAGTAAATTCTTCGTCATTATGCCTTTGAAGAGACATTGAAATACTTTTTTTGTGAAGAGCTGTATCCATATTAAGACACCAAGTAGGTTTTTCTACCCATTTTTTCTTGGGAGGTCCTATCACTGCCCAACAGACCAGGAACACGAAGATTTTAACTTCCAGGCCAGAGAACGTGTTTTGGTGAAGCGGCAGCCCTGGAAAGCTGCTCTGAGTTTCCCGGCCTGTTCCCGGCGCCCGGAACGCGCCTGCCGCCGCCGGTGTTTCCGCGCCGCGGCCGTTCCCTGGCGCACCCGGCGGAAGGCGCGGCCGGGCCTGAGGCGCAGCGCGGGCCGGGCAGGCCGAGCCGCCACCATGGGCAAGCGGCAGCACCAGAAGGACAAAATGTGAGCGGGGGGCGCGGGGGAGAGCGCGGGGGCCGGGCTGTGCTGTGTCTGTGCTGTGCTCAGTGACCCCCCTGTCTCGCAGGTACATCACGTGCGCCGAGTACACGCAGTTCTACGGCGGCAAGAAAGCAGGTAAGGGGGACGGGCCGCTCCCTCAGAGCCCCGGGCCGAGCCCTGAGCCGGGCCGCTCCCTCAGAGCCCCGGGCCGAGCCCTGAGCCTCGGGCCCCCCGCCCGCGGTGCTGCTCGGAACGGCCGCGTTTGTGCCCGATGAGCGTCCCCGCCCTCCGCCGGGAGTGTGCCCGCTGCTGGGGCAGAGCCTGAGCGTTAATGATCACATTTAAACTCAGCGCTGTCCGACTGTCACCAGCTCTGTTTTGATCTTTTCCTGGCAGTGTAATTTCAGTTCGGAAATGTTAATTACAGTTTCGCAAGCTTTAGGGTATTTTTCCTTGTCATCAGTAACTTACCACCGGTTATGTAGCAATATGTAACTTTCAAATGTTTCTTGATTACCTAGAACACCATGTATTTATTAAAATCTGTGTGGATTTTCTTTTCCCATAAACAGACCTTCCACGAACCAATTTTAGACGTTTATCATTTGATCACTGCAGGTAAGACAACAAATTTACATTATCATTGTTTAATGACACATCTGTTTATCTGACTGTTGACACTGAACTAAAGCCATGTTCTTCTGAGGCAATTACTTTCATTGACTTGTGCCTGCTGTGGCAGTAGTGTGGCAAGGAAAAGTTGAATAAGAACTGAAACAGAGTCTGCATGACCCATGATCAGTGTCTGCAGAGGTTGGAGCTGATGGCTGAAAGGATACACAAGTGGTGAAATAATGCAGAACAATTACTGTGTATGTCCCAGTCTTTCAAATCTGTGTCCTCAGGGCTCAAATCTGCTTGTCCCTGCTCAGAATGTGCTTGGTCAGTCACTCATTTTGCTAAAATAGAGATTAAGGTAGATTGAAGAATATTTCTGTTATTTTTTTCTGTAGAGTTTACTGCTTGAAGTGCAGGAGTGAAGGAAGAGAGTTGGTGGAAGTGGTTTAGAAATCCTTGTAAATTGGGTAGTTCAGGACGTTGCCTTCCACACCTATGAGCTAAGAGCTGCCAGGATTATGGGAGCATCCCTAACAGGAGATGCTGAGCATGGTTGCCAGTCACATTGTGATTCCCACCTGGTTTTGCTAACAAGGTTCTGTTCTCTTTTTTCTAGTTTGTCTCTGCAGCCATTTGAATACCCAGTTTGCACACCAGATGGGACAGTCTTTGACATCCTGTAAGTTCCTGTCTATACTTAGCTTTATTTTTGTGTTACATCTGTGTAATCATCATTTAGCTTTAACAAGTTGGCAAAAGCAGTCATTGCCATCAGTAGAGGTTTCTGGAGGTGCCTGTCATGAATTACTTTATCCCTTCTCTTTTCAGGAGCATTGTACCTTGGATAAAGAAATATGGAACAAATCCAATCACGGGAGAAGTAAGTAATGATGGGTGGATTCACATCATGGCTTTGCTTTCTTTATGCTCAGTTTTTTATTTAATGTGTTAAAGAAACAAAAATGCCTCAGTGAAAGCAAAGGAAGTTGAATGGGAGTGCAGTTTTGAAGATGTGTGGAAGAAAGGAGAGCATTACCTCTATTTATTTTTTGTAATCTGATTGTAAATGGGGCAGAGGTGAGTGGTTAATTTGTGTGAACTCTCAGGGTTCTTGCCTGCCTTCCAGCTGTGGCATAATGAACATCTGTACAGAGGGAAATACAAACTGTTGTTAATGCTGGTTCTGCCCAGAAAGCCTGACTGGTCATTGATGGAAAAGACTCTCCTGCTGCCTCATATAAGCACAGTCCTGGTTCCTGCAGGGCAAGGAGCTCACACCTCTCCATCTGGGGTTAAATTTACAGCAAGGTTTCCTAACCCAAAGGATATTTGCCATCATGCAGTTTAAGGAGATTAATAGATGATATTATGAATAGTAAGCCTACACTACAAAATCTTCTGAGTTATCCTGACAGTGTATTTCAGAAAGCATTTGTCATGGTGGTTCACTGTGAGAGAAACCTTTGTGGGTTCCTCCCCCTTTTTTTGCATAAATGATAATTATGACAGGATTAATGTCTGTAGCAGCATGAAATGGTAAAACACTGAATAAACATGAAGTACAGGAAATATTTCCCTGTTGGAATTATCTTTCTTCTGATGTGTCAAGTGCATTGTTCATGAGGGCATCGAGGAAAATTTTAAGCAGGAACTGTTGCTTGAGCAACTGAAATTTCTTTTTCTTCAGTGTGTGCAGTTACTTTTGTAGGCACTGGGTGGCAGCCCTTGCCCAGGGTTGGGGAGGTTTGCAGCTGCCTCTGGGCTGAGATTCCTTCTGAAAGATCTTGTGTTCGATTAAAGATTTTCCTGTCACACAGATACGAGGAAAAGCTAAATACAGGTGTAACATTTCAAACTCTAAACATCAACAGCCTGTCTGAGACTGAATATCTTCCTGCAGATGTGTTTGTGCAATGGTGGGGTGATTGAAGGTCTTTATTCACACGTGAAGAGGCCAGTGTGTTGTTGAGAAGGAATGAAATTACAGCTATTTCATTTGGTTTTGCCAGCCTCTCACCACTTTGATGCTCTCTGCATTGGTTGGGAGTTTTGGGGTGTTACCAGATCAATTTTTTTCACTCAGAGCAGCTCATTGCAGACTGTGAACTATGATGTGGTTTAAAATTGCTTCAAGTAAATGCTAAGCAAGAAGTGTAATGTCCCTGACTGTGTTGTGTAATGGAGAGAGAGGGAGACTGTGCTCAATATACTTGGTGAACCATAAATACTTAAATGAAGTCAGGCCTTGAGACCTGTTAATTCACCAGACTTGTGCTTCTGTAGTTGTCTGCAGTGCTGTTCCAGCTCTCCTCAGTGTGTGTTCTTCCTTTTGCTCTGTATCACTGTCTGGGGAGCCCTTTCTTCCCCCCTCTTGTTCTGTGGTGGGCTGGTGCTGTACA